GGACCAGGAGCCTCCACCTTCCCCATAGCTCCTGCCCTGTACCTCCAAGATGTTATGAGCAGCAGCTCCAGCCGAGTGACGCTCTCTCTGGCTGCTAGCAGCAGACCACTGGGTTCACTACACAAAGCCCTGGTCTTATAATGAACATCTGGGCCCTGTTCCCAATCAAGCAGTTGTGCCTGATTGGGAGTGCAGCTACCTGCAGGCTGCTTTGCTGCTTGCCCATGCCCCTTTGGGTAACAGAACATAACTTGTACTCTGTTACACCGGGGTAGAGCCACAGGGCATAGTCCCCTTCTGGAGAGTGTCAGGGGGGCCACATCTATGTGCCACCCGATGGGCTGGAAGGGGCCTCTAATCCTCTGCTTTTAGCACCGAGTCTGCCCGCCCCTGTCCCAGTTGTGTGACACTAGCAAGTAAATGGCTTTGGGGAGTTGGTAGAGTTTAGAGCAGCCTCAAAGCTGTTCTACCCACTGCTCCAAGTCGTGTAAAATATGGACTCGGGAAAGCTGAGCTGGCTCCCCACACCCTTTCCCCTGTCCTAAATGATGAATGCTCTAGCAATCAAGGTGATCAGTGAGGCTATTGGAGAGCAGGAGTTTTGATCCTTGCAATGGATGATACTGCTTTCCCCTGAACAGGGCATCCCCACTGCCCCTGAAACACAGCCACAATGCCAGTGAGCTGCCAGATTGGTTTCCAGGGTGGCTTTGTTACACACCAGTTTGCACTCAGAACGCCCCACTTGCAAACTGGAGATGGCACCCCGGGCTTGCCACCTTGGGAAGCCATAATTAAGCAGGCAGACCTGATGGAGAAGTGCAACAGGGTTGTGATCCTCCTTTCTGCAAAGGAACCAGGTGCATCATCCCTTCAAAGGCCAGGTGGTGATAAGAGTCCAGAGCCCTGTAACATACAACGTGGCATTCCCCGAAATGGGTTTGCCTTGTTCATCGGTGCAGACGGCAGAGAGACGGCAGCTGCAAGAGATAAACCAGCCTTGGAGATTTGTTCCCACAAAGTGAATTCAAATGTCCCCAGCTCCAGAGCTGTAGATCGCAGCTTTTTGGTGGGTGGGCACAAGGGGAATGGAGAGCAGTGGGATCCATTGGGAAAGGAACTAGCTTGGTGCTCAGCGCCTGAGAATGACCTTGGACAAGTCGCTCAGCCTGTCAGTGCTGCCTCCCAGCACTTGGGTTTGGGGTTTATTTAGACTGGAAGCTCCCAGGGCAGAGATTGTCTCCAGCTGTGAGCGCTTAGTGCCTTGTAACCGCATGGCAGGACCCATAGCATTCTCTCTCCAGTCCCAGCAGAAAAGAAAGTTGCTGTCTTGCCCCTTTACTGCAACCTGCAAGTCTGCAAGATGCAGTGGTTCTCCGTGGGGAGGAATTGCAATGCTTCTCAGCCTTTTTTTAGACTCATGAACCCCCGCATGAGACTCCAGCCGCCCTTCAGAAAATGCCAGCTCTTTGCTTTCACTCATTTGTTGACTACAGAAATAGAATAGAGCAATTCTTCTGTTGCAAACAACTGCAATAGCCCACAGCAGGTCAGAATGGTTTAGTCACGGTGGATTCCTAGTTGAAATCTCTGGGTTTATCTTGTGAAACGTGTGTAGGTGTTTGTACACCTAGCAGTGCTAATATTATGCAGCATCCTGTAGCTCCCTTAAAAGGATTTCCTGTTACCCCGGTTGAGAATCACTAACATCATAGATTGTGTTCATCATCAGCAATCCCTCACCGTCAAGGATGATTGCTCTCCATGATTTTATGGATCTGAAGGGGGCTGATGAGACTGATCTGGAGTCAACAGACTGTTACAGCTCAGGCACATGTTTCTGTGCGAGGTGGGTGGCTCTTGGTTCGATCCACGACACGCTGTTTCTGCCACTCCCATGTTTCCATCTCCTGTTGTTGTCATAAGGTTTCAAAGTACTGACTTAGTTGCTGCAAAGATAGCTTGTGTTAACCTTTTGGGGTTTGAAGAGGAAGGAGGGCACTGCTTTTAGTCTCGGGGAGGATGGTAAAACCTACAGAAAACTAGCTGACATAATGAAATAATCCTATGAATGGGACGTGGCCCAACTGGGGGTATGTGGGAACAGCTTCTCAAGGACTGCGGTAGATAGTCCCCTCTACACATTACATTTACACTACAGATAATACATTAATCGCAGCATAAATAGCAAGGGCACATATACCCAATGTAAGGTGACATAAAATGGCAAACCAGCCATAAAAATGTTCTATGTAATACAGAGCATATAATGTAGAACACTTTTATGGCTGGTTTGTCTGGCTCGTTAAATAAATTGAATGTGTAACCAATGTTCCCTCTAAGGTTTAGCGATCTGTGAGCAATCCTGGCTGGGAGTGCACGGGTATCTCAGTGTGCCCAACCCTCCCCCATTCTGCAGCAGCCTGTGGCCGAGTTGGGGTGGAGGTCAAGTGGCCAGATGTGAATCCAGCAGTGGTGGCAGGGGGAGCATTGGTGCCTCCTTGCTACAGCACTGGGCGTGTGTCGTTCCCCACCGCCCTCCCCCGGCTGGCACCTGGAGGCCATGGCCCCCTACCTGCCCACCCGCCCCATCGGTACACCACTGTGTGCATGACATTAAAAAGTTATTGCGCAGCATGATTTTTTATTGTGCACAGCTGCGCACACATGCAGCTTAGAGGGAACGCTGTGTGTAGCAGGTCCGGGCCAGGACCAATGATCAGCTGAGCGTCAGCCTGGAGCCATACTGGGATCTCAAACCAGCCCAGTGTAATCAGGGGCCAGAACCAACAATCAGCTCGTTTTCAGCCCTGGCCCCACTCCTGCAGGCATCTGGCTTTCTACTTGCTGTTGCAGGGGGAGCCCAGGATCACAATGAGAATGCGTGTACGCCAGGGGCCTAAGACACAGAGCGGTCAAATGACTTGCCCATGGTCACACTGGACGTCTGTGGCAGAGGAGGGGCAGGAGCTTTAACTACTGCCCTAACCACTCTTTCTCTCTGCTGGTGTTGCCTGTTGGGTCCTGCAGCTTGTGATCTGTGAGGCTTGTCCCTCTGAGGAGAGGGGTCTGGGCCTGGTTGGGCAGGAAAGGGCCTGTTCAGGGGGCCACGCTGGGTGCCTTTCTGTGGCGCAGCTCTGAGGAAGGGAGACTCGTGGCTGGAGCTGCAGCTGCAGCTGCAACCCCAGCAAAGGAAGAGCTGGCAGTGGAAATTTCCACCCTTTGCCTTCTGGTTCCCGAGAGCTCCTGAAGTCAGATTTCTCCAGCTGTTCCCAGCAGCTGCCCTGCCTGTGCTGGTTAATTGGATCTTGACGGGTCTCCCTGGGCTGGTGCTCCTTGTTACTGCTCCGAAAACCCTGCGCGTGCTTTAAGCAGGGGGAAAGGGCTCTCCCCAGCTTGCTGCTCCTGCTTGCTTCTCCCTCCTTGCTCCCGTCCCTCCCATCCCTTGCTCAGTGCTGCCAGTCTGGTGCTGTGACAGCACCCACAGGTCCCTCTCACCCGACCATGACAATACCCAGACCCCTTCTTGCTGATGCTGTCAGCTCCTCCACACCTCTTCCCCTCTCCCTGTCCCCTCCGCCTGCTAGTCCCTTTCCTCTTCCCCGTACCCCCTTGTCCCATGGCTCCTTGAGCCAAGCAGGCCCTGCTCCTTTCTCCCTTGGCCTCCTTCCACCTACACCCTCCACGGCCCGAACTGCAGTCACATCCCCTGCTGTGTCGTCCTTTGGGCCTGATCCAGAGCCCAGTGAAGCCACTTTTCAGACTCAGTAGCTTCCATGAGCTGTGGTCTACACCGCCAGGTTAGGAAGTCACGTGGGCAGGGTACAGGTCTTCACCCTGGGGGCCAACAGATTAGAGCTGCTGCCAACCCCAAGGTGCATCACCCACTGACTGCTGAGAGATGGAGCTTCTTGGGCTGTTGATTTCAGTGGGAGAAAGGTCTGGCAAGGGCCTCTAAGGCACAGTGGGCACGTCTACACATGCATTTAAGCACACCTAAATTTAATGTGGATTACCTTAATGCTCATTGAGCTGCTTTAGGCAGGCATCTACACGTGCAGGTGTTAAAGAGCCTTAACGCTGTGTACGTGGACCGACTTGGCTTGTCACAGCGTTATTGTGCTTTAACGCATCCATACATTTGTTAATGTGCTTTATTTGCACCTAAATTTGATACCTGCATTTGCAGGTATCAAATTTAGGCACAGATAGCCTAAGTTCACCCTTTTTAATGCGCATTAAGGGTGTGCACGTGTAGACGCATACTCGTAATGTGCATTAACTTAGCCTAATACGTATTAAAGCGTCATGTAAAGACGTGCCCAAAGCATCCTTGCCCCACCAGTGCAATCAGGCCTGCCCTTGACAAGTGCTTGCTCATCATAGCAAGTCACAAACACTGGTTTGCAGCATCCTAGAGTAAACCGTGCCAGAGCAGCACGTTGTTCTGCATGCCCACAGGGCAGGGCAGGAAGTCATGGGCTGAGATTACCACAAGGGACATTTCAACAGGCTTTTAGGAAGAGCCTTCCCTTACACACATGGCTGAGGGGACCTGTGTTGTTAGCATCCTGCGACTCATGAAGCAACGAAGCCAAGGCGTGCTGGCACGGCCCTGCTGAGTGTGGCTTCCTGGGCCTTTACCCCGTGCAGTCTCTTGTCAGCTCCATGCTGGACTTCTGGTCCAATTCCAGCATGTTGTGAAAGTGTGGAGCTCATTGCCACTTGCTCTGTGCTGCTTTGTGACACAAGAGACTGTGCAAGATGGACCTGTGACCTGACCCAGTAAATCTTCGTTCTCATGGGGGTGGACAGCTGTTCCATTTTCAGGTAGAGGAGCTGAGACAGGTGCAGTTTTTGAGCTGAGACCCACCACACTTGTATTCAAGGGAATGGTTTCAGTCCATATGGGTTCACTGACACCCCTCAGAACCCCTCAAGACATTTGGGGTCTCCCAGGGTGCTGGCTCCACATTTTAATCCTTTTGTTGTTTTTGCAGGGTTACATGAAACCTTTGAAGCAACCAGAAAACTCCATCCTCTGCGACCCCTCCCTGGTGGACGAGATCTTCGACCAGATCCCTGAGCTGCTGGAGCACCACGAGCAGTTCCTGGAGCAGATCAGCGAGTGCGTGCAGAACTGGCACGAGAAGCAGAAAGTGGGAGACCTGCTGGTACAATCTGTGAGTGCAGCAAAGATCCCCCCACACATGCCACCTGCCACGGCACCCCGGGGGGGGACTGG